TTTAACATATCCAGTCTCCTCAAACAGTTTTATACACCGGTAGACTAACATGCGCCCAATCTCGAGCAGGCGGAGCTTTTTGAAAATATCACATTTTTACATTTCAGACTTAAGAATTGAAGGCTAACTCTTTTCATATGTCATGTGGTAATAACGGTATTTATGTCCCAACTAAGTATACAAACTCCGCACGAAATTCGAAACCCTGGCATGCCGCGTTGGCATTCTTCAACCAAATTCTGAAGTAGGGCGTTTTTGAAAAGTTTTCTGAGATAGGGCGTTTTCGAACTGGCAGCCGAGGTAGGTTGATCTTCCACTCAGCCATCGATATACATATATTATGTTAATTTGTTTTAAATGAATCATTTTTTGTTTTTGATGTTTAATAAAATTAAGGAACGTTATTTTTATAAACTTTCCTCCTTTTTGTCGAGAATTCAGTTTTTTCGAAAATTTACAGTTTTTAAAACAAGATCTGGCAACACTGGGTGCGGGGTCTTTTTCCTTATCGACTTATTCAATTTTAAGCTATCTTTACGCCTAACAAACTATGCAAACGTTTTCCAGGCGGAATCTTTTGAAATTAAAGAGCCGGTAAGGTACATAAAGGACCACGCAGTCGCAGGTGAATATTTTCTTTGATGCCCAGGGGCAATCCAGGTACGCTCTTCTTCACGGCCTAGGCTGGAACTTGTGGAGGGCTATAGAAGAGAGTTGGCCTCAATTTCTTATTAATTCAAAATTATACTAATATGTGGTCTCAAGGCATAAGGACATACATACATAGGTATAAGGAAATTATAGGGCGGATGATTTGCGAGAGTTTTTAAGAGAGTATAATATACTCTGGCCAGTGACGAATCCAGCTCGCGAATTATTCACTTGGCAGACTTATAGCTAGTGAAGAAAACAACTTTTTTTGTGAATCAAAGCGAAAAAGAAATTTGCGGCTTCTTGGCTTTCTGTGGGCTTTGATGAAAGCAAACGGCGAAGAGAGTGCTCTCATGTCTGCTTTATTGCTTTTTTGTGGGTGGTGATTTTTTGTAGGTATACAAATGTACATATGTATATGCGCTAAAATTTCAATAG